TATTAAAAAAAAAAAACTTTTTCAAAATTCGACGTTTAAGGGACATCCGCAAAAACCTTTGGGAATTACGTCGTTAGGTTTTTTTTTTTTTGGCTACAAGTAAAGAAAATCTCCTTGTAAGAGTTTAACAAGGCTTGATAACTGCCCTCGATAATATACGTAGCGTGCATACAGTTCGAGAGACGTGTTCCCTATGATTTTTGCAGATGTCCCTTAAACCTTGACTTTTGAAAAAGTTTTTTTTTTTAATATGAGCGCACCATTTAACTAAAACCAAACCAGGGTTACAATGTGTCCTAAAGCCTCCTTGATAAAATATCAAAAGCTCGTTTTAGTTAGACGTTGCGCTCGGTGTCAAAAAAGCCTCGGAGTGATAGAAAAACACGAATTTTTCGCTAAAATACGCCTGCAGACCTATGTTTAGGCAACCGTTTAACACGTATCCAGAGGCCTAAGGGCTAAATCATGATTATTTCCGTAAACTACATTGAGTCAACTTCGAAAACCTGCATAAATTTCCAGATTCTAGGAGGGGGCCAAAAAAGGCCCTTATCGATACCCTCCTTTATGTTATTTGTCATAGTTTGTTTGAGCGTTCTGCCAGGCCGATTTCCATGATTTTTGCAGTTATCGACAGGTGATAGGCCCTAGGTGAGCCCGCTCTAATCAGATTTTGGAAATAGGACCCAGGTTTTTTAAAAATGAAGTTATAAAAGTGAGCGAATTTACAGACTGCTCCGTGCCTTCAGCCGTTATGCGCAGTAGGTTGCGCAGTAGCTGAGAAGGTTGTGCAGTGGCTGAATAGCATGCGCATTAGTTCTACTTATCAACACAAGATTTGCTGAGTGTAATTGGAGATGGGCGGTGGCCGCGTTGTCTAAGACGTCAGAAGTGCCAGCATGGTCTGAACGGTGTCGTTTCGATTCCTGGCTGACTGGCATTTTAATTATGACCTGTGATCATCATCATTTGTTGTTTTACTACAGTGGTTCATTAATCAATCATTGTGAAACGCATCCTCTTGACTTCAAATTTTTTCTTTTTATTTATAAAAAACATAAATCATTTCATTCTAAAGAATAAAATATACCTCATGTCGTTATTTTTGAGGGGAGAAATATATCCAACATTGATAAAAAGCTAAAAGAGAAAAACGCAACGGTAAAAATAGGAAACGATAGAAAATTTAAAAACAAAAGAAATGACTAAATAAAAAAAAAAAAAGGTTGGACTGCATTGAAATTAAGAAAAACTACCGATTAGAATATCCGAATTTCATATTCACTTCATGCTGGCTTAATCCAAAATCCCTAATTTTATTCTCTAAATATTTTATCATTGGGACATTGCATTTGAATTAGTCCATTAGGTTCTTACTACTTCCGTCATAAACGTTTTGCCATGATCTGTTAAACAAATATTATCATGAAAATATGAATTTCATAAATGCTGCAATTACCAAAACTAGGGGGCTACGTGGCCCAACCCCCTGAAGGCGCTCCGCGCCGTCAATGGGCCGTCTCGCGGCCCTATTTGTACCCTCCTATCAATGTTGGTTTTATTTTTCCCCCAAAAAATTACGATATAAGGTATACTTTACTTTTAGAACAAAATGATTTTTGTTTTTGATGAATAAAGAAAAAAAATTGAAGTGAAAGGGATGCGTTTTGGAATGACTGATTAATGAAACATTGCAGTAAAAGGTTCCCGGACCTTTCGGCGCGGGTGTTTCGGCACTGGGGGTTTTCGGTGCACGGACTTTTTGGTGTATTTCAATAGACAGTAAATCTGGCACCTCTGAACTCGTCGCTCTGATTACTTATCGTGATAGTTTTGTGGAATGTGTTTTGTCTTTAGTTTTTAGTGACAAGGGCTCTTTGCTAAGGACTCAGCTAATTTTAGAAATTTTTACGAAGGTATCAATTTTTAGTGCCAAGGGATAAACACACTTTTTTACACTTCCATTGACTTCTATTCCGTTTAGTCCAGCTAGTGGGCCGAGCTGGTTAACATTCCTAATCCTATCCCTCTCATTCGTCTCCTATGTCATCATTGTTTGGACACATATCTGGCAAAAGGGGGTTAAGAATTTCAAAGACTTCACTATCTTAAAACATTTATGTAGTAGGGTTAAGAATTTCCAATACTTGACTATCTTAAAACATTTATGTAGCAAATTCTTGGAATATTTTGTGAACAACACCCACAACTTCCTTTTTCTCTGTCTTCCTCTCTGGAATATTCTGATAGGAAACCGTTCTGGAAAATAAGGTAAACCGCCCCTTCTTGTATTCTAAAAAGTATAGAACGTGTGCCGAACAATCCTGCGCCAAAAAGTCCGGACACTGCAGTAAAACAACGATTGACGATAGTCAGATCATAATTAAGTAGCTGAGGAGTCAGGAATCGAACCCACACCTTCAGACATGTGGACGCTTCCAACGTCTTAGACGACGCGGCCACCGCTCATTTTGAAGTGACCTGGCCGAATCTTGTGTTGATAAGTAGAGCTGATGCGCAGGCTACTCAGCTACTGCACAATCTCCTCGGCTACTGCGCAATCTTCTGCGCATAGTGGTAGCAGGTGCCGAACATTCTGTAAATTCACTCACTTTTATAACTTGATAGCTTAAAAACCTGGGGCCTATTTCTAAAATCTGATGAGAGCGGGCTCATCTAGGGCCTATCACCCGTGGATAAGCGCAAAAGTCATGAAAATCGGCCCGGCAGAACGCTGAACCTAAGCGTTACCAGTTACGCAAAATTATGAGGTCTCGGAGCTTATAGTATAGAGATAGAGAGAGAGATAGCGGCCCCTTGATGGCGCGGAACGCCGTCAGGGGGTTGGGTCGCGTAGCGGCCAGGGGACGTAGCCCCCTTGTATCAAATGTATCAATACAAGGACTGATAAACCATCTTTTGTTTTTATTTTATTTAAGTGAAAAAATACATTTGGCAAACTTTGCCTCTCTAGTTAAAGAAACTATGCTTCACATCAATGCTAAAGGATAGCTGATGATATGTAGGTGCAGACTTTCTTTCTCAGGACATTTTAATTACACTTCTCAACAGAGAACTATTATCTCCGGCTTATCCATGAAAATACCCAGCTGTATTGTGAGACTAATGGCATATGTGCTGTTTCTAAAATGAGGCTTTAATAGCTGTTCATGTTCCATATGGTATAATACAGTCCACTAGACCATCTTATATCTTCTTCTTTGGAATACTCACTCTTTTTCAGAGCATGTAGAAACACTGTAAGCAACTACTAGTTATATTTGATCATTGTGAGAATACACAGAATATTTGACGGTGGAACCTTGAAATGTTTTCTTATGGTCAAAACATTAAACCATTTTTTACTGTACATTCAAGCTTTATTGAAGAAAGTTAGAACTCAGATATCAGACACCGATATAAGTTTTGTACTTTTAAGTACAGTAAGTTTTGTTGCTATCATCATTTTTCATGAGTCAATCGGAGCCCATGGGCCAATCGCTCAATTTTTGTTTTTTGCTCGCATCCAAAGAACTAAGGCTGTTGATGACACAGTCATTTTTCTTGGAGTTTTGTGGACAACCAGAAATCTTTAGTAGTCCATTTTTGGTAGAAACTGATCTCAGGTACTAGTTACTTCACAGCATATTGCCAACTTGGTCTTTTCATCTCTTATACCCTCTATTTACCCTCTTATTTATTTACCCATAAGGAATCGGAAGTCGATTTTCAATTTCAAATTTTAATTTTTCATCTTGAAAAAGTGAAGTCATCATTTAAAAAATTAAAGTCAAGTTATATTTTAGCGAAGTTCAGGGAGCGGTAATCAATCAAAAATGGCTGTGTCCTCCTTAGCCTCAGTTAGCTTAAAAGTACAAGTTTCATGCAAAAATTTACATAACAGGAATATATTTTTGAGACTTTTCAGTTCCCAGAAAGGTATGGATGATGAAGCCTTGAAAAATAATTTTGACCCTTTGTCAGCCTAAGTGAGTTAAAGAACAAAAATAAAACGCCCCGAAGATTGAAGTATCTTGTCATTTGAAAAAATGTAAATCATCTTAGCTGTTAGGCCAAATTTTAATTATTCTACCTGAAAACAGGCAACTCTGGTTGCATAATTTTTTTTTTTTTTTTTTTTATATATTCATGTAAATGTACATAGCAATTACACTTGAAATTTTCAGACCAGATAGGTCTTTATAAAATTTTACATTAACTTATACCTAATAAAGTATAATACACACCACTTTTTAGAGTTAATAACAGAATTCAAATATTGAGAGGGAATAAAATTACAAAAGAGATAAAGATTAGGTAACTGAAACTAAAGTTAAGAAAATAGGGACATCAAGGTGAGAGCTAACTATTGAAAGAAAGAATTTTACGAAAGTTATGAAGAGATTGTAAGAAATGAAAATTAAAAATAATTAACTTGAATGTTAAAAGAAAAAGGGAGAAAAAGTGGGGAAAACTAACAATGAATAGCTATGTGAATTCTCATGTAAAACATGAGAGTTTTTTATTTAAGAGTGCGTGACCCCATCAGTCGACAAAGACTAAATCGGGGGCCAGTGGCACGAGCCTAACACTGGCGAAAGCGAGCCGTTGCCAACTCGTGGGGTTTTCTTCTTTTAAGACGGCGTGGAGCATCCATCCAGTCCAGGAGCGTTATTGCTTCCGGGTTAGGGTGTACTCCCAAACGCTCTTTATAGTTGTTATACAATCTGGATATATATGAATCCATTTCTTCTATCCCGAGCTCGCTACGAATATCTGCGTTACGCTCGTACCACCTGGCCCCCGCCATTTGTCTTAAAATGCATAAATTACAGACAAGTCAAATTTAGTAATGTCCGACTAAGGTCTGTAAGTGTCCAGCTAGTACAGAAATGTTTCAAGTAATTACAATAAAGATGCAAAGGATAAAAAAACTAGACCCACTTTAAAAATTGCCTCAATTTTGAAACCTGTAGAAACATATTATTTAAGTATTTTAGTATTTGTTACAGGTGTTGTTGCTTTTTCAAGCGGAAGAAGAAATCAGGTCGAGCCAAATGACTAGCTGAAGGTCAGCGTAACAATTTGGAAAGAGAAGTAGCAACTCTTCTGCGTGCTATGTCTCACTCAATCTCTCGTGATAGTGTTCTTAATAGTATACCTACTATTACATAACATCTCGTCAAAAACTTTTTGAGCTGCTATTGTTTTTAGCAACCTTCATAATTTTTATCGGTATTCAACTGTTGATAGAGCTAGTCATTGTTATGTCACTGATTTAACTGCCAGTCTCAACTATCAGGAATGATCCTTGATTATAACTGATCGTTATTACTGCTGGTTGTCCACAACGGTTGTATTTATTTAAATGAACTCTTGACTGCTGCCTTGTACTCTGCATTATAAGAATTTAAGCATTATTATTAATACTGTCAAGTCATTTTTTTTAATTCCCCTCTTCCGAAAATACTTTTAGGAATAACTGAATCTGTCATGTGAGCTCTAATTTACTGCATTAATCTATAGCCATCCGCTGCCCAAAAAATACTGTGCATTTCTATGAGGTCTTTTTTGAACCACTTCGGAACGATTCATAACTATTATTCATTGTCCTTCAATATTACAATTACCTCTCCTTATATTTTCTGTCCTACTCACTTTTGTACTTGATGATGATGCCTCATCTGAAGAGGGAAGAATTTGTGCTATATTTTCTATTACAATGAAAACTGAAGCTACTAATCATGTTTCATGTCAGAGACATGACTTTTACAGTGAAACCTTTGTACAATGATTTTCAGCAGACAGCCATTTTAAGATTGTTGTTAAAACAAAACATGTTGATAAACATAGATAAATGTCTTACCTGTGAATGAAACAGTATTACACAACCTATCAAGCATATCTGTGGCTATTTTAATGCTTACTGTTGCTTAATCTGATGTATTATCAAAGAAAAGAAGATTAGTCAGTTCATTGAAAAAATTGGTGCAGAAATTTTAAAAATGTATGAAATTTTACAAGAACTCCTTGAGTGTACGCTGAACGGAGGCCCTTAGGCACATTCTCATGGCTACATTGCAGGAGCAAGGATAAAATAGTATCCATGTTGACAGTGAGGCTCAGCACAGATACACGAACATTGGAAAAAACTATGAAACCGTTGCCGTTTGTCAAACAAGTGTGTCCATCTGGGCCAAGTCTAAAGCATCCTCATACCCTGACTTAGAGTTATTGGAATTGGAAGCTCCACCTGTAGTGTGCCTGTTGCTTGAGATGAAGAGTACTACCCATGCTTTTTTGTTACTCATGTGCCACACTTTCGAAAACATAACAGGGTGCTACATGAACCTTTGAGAACCTTTCCATCCCTCTTCAAACTTCTGAATCACTAAACGCTGTCATTTTGACCTTTTTTTTACTCTCAAATCTTAAATTTACTTGAAAGTATCTCTTAATAGAATAATTTCAATCTTAAATATTTGTATCTCCATCAATTTACACAGCGAGTGAGCTGAAGTCTTAAAGAGAAAAACCATATTGTCTCACAGGAGGAATCTTTGCAGTGGTCTTGACTTATAAGTATCTTAGCAGTAACACCTTGCACAGCGTACTTTTGCCAGATAGGTACAAATCTTCCTATAAGCCATATGCGTGTACCTGAAAATCATGTTTATCACATGTTACAGCACCCTGTTCAATTTCTCGCATTATCATGATAAGGTTGGAAAATAACCCAAGTTTTCTGTGAAAAATATTCTTATCTTTGTTACCAGCGAATGAAATTGTCATTACATAGAATGTATGAACAGTATGCTGCTTTGATATTGTTTTAAAAAAGAAAATACATTGTCAGCGTAGGAATTTTGACAGAGCTGTCAAGAATATTCATTACATTAGAAAAGTCATCATATTGATGGTTGCTCAATCCAGGTTTTACTGTATATCACTAATACGGCAAGACCAAATGCTCCTCCATCTTAATCAGGATTTTAATTTCTTCAGCTAAGCAAAAGTACAAATTATTCAATTTCCCTAACTCTTCACCTTACACTTTTTTATGATTCTACTTTCTCCAGGTACTTATTTCCTCTATTTCTTTTCTGTTACCTCTAATCATCCTATAATTTTACTATTATCGTTATTATGACTGTCACATGCATTATTCTTGTAATTACTTTTACTTTAGCTGTATGCATCATCACCTTTATCATCAACAGAGGCTCATTACTATCATTATAATTATTTTAACTCATTAATTTATGAAATGAACTCTTTTAATGAAACTTCTGAAACTAAGAGAAAGTATTCAAACCACCTCATAGTCATTCAACACACCTATGTTCTTTGTAATTTGAAGCTAAGAATTATTTCATCGTTTTTATATTATGTTAAGTTTTCTTTGGAATGATTTGTTAAAGACTTTGTGCTCTGCTAATAATCAGACATAATTTTGGCATTCTCCCCCACTATAACGGTTTTTCCGACTCCTCTCTGCGTTTTTCAGAATTTTGCGCTCTTAATTTCAAAGAATTTTGGAGACCCTCATTTGTAACTAATATTTCATTTTCTTGAAATGACACCAAAGGAAATTAAGGTAATTTTCAAACCTCGTTCAGAAATTCTTTTGCCATTAATTTTTTTTTTTAAGAACTTGAAATGCTCATAACACCCATACGTTTTATTAATTTACTACTGTCGTGATTTTAAATAAAACTTCCAACCTCGTAAATCAAGCTCTTGCATTTTCAGCCTATAATCAATGGCCATCAAGGTAACATGTGGACCTCAATCTTACAGAAACCATTCAAAAATTACAGCTAATGCAACAAATTGCTACATGGTGAAATTTTCATACGTACATCAATGTTTACTGGTCCTTTCCTCTCTCTTCCTTTCTATCATTAACTTGACTGTAAAAATTTAGCCTAATTTCAAAGATTGTTTTGGATCGTTTTTGGACAGTAGAGGTCATGTTCTTTTTCTCTTATTTTAACTTTTTTATATCTTTTCCCATCGTTGGAAAACAATTAATGTATCAAAGTTAAACAACAATATGTTTGAATCCATTCCTTAACCTCGGTTTTTGTTCTCTTATAAAGCAGTATATGTATAAACAGGGGTTGTCAGGTTTTTTTGTTTTGAGAAAGTTGCGTTCAATGCTTGCAAAACCATGCATTTCAATGTGCACACAGCAAATCGAATTAGGTCAAGGACTTTATCTTTTAGCAATTCCTCCTCTAAAAAATTAGCTCTAAAATTTAAATTTGAAGCAAATATTAATTGAGGCACAGTGATTTAAAAAAAAAAAAAAAAGAAACACATCTGCCATTTGTTAATAGAACTTTTTTCAGGCTTACTTTTAACTACCTAACTGTAGAGTAGAAGAGGTAGAGTAATTGTTATGAATCAAATTATAATAATTGGCAAGTTTTTCGATGATTTTCCAAGGAACATTAATATTCGGTAATCTTGTAAAAAATAAGGAACAAATCATATTGTCAGTCTTTTATAAGAGAGGAAAGATTGAAAAGGGTGCCATCTCCCAAAGACGTACATACAACAGGTCTCATTCACTTTTTATTACTATTGTAATGTATACGATCGTTAAAGGGATTAATAAGTTTCAGCAAATTATTCAGATGAACAGTGAATTCTGGCATCCGCTGTTCTTAGATGTAATGCAGCTTTTATTCCCATTTCAATGGAAAATCATCCTTGAAGTCCAAAACTTGATACTAACACTCTTGAAGGTTTGTGGATTTTGAAAAGAAACGTAATCCCCAAAAATGGCAGATGTTTGATAACTATTGTTTGTACACATCTGGCTTCTTATACATCTTTCCTCGCCTATAGAGGATTTCTGCATCACTTTCCTTTATGTCATGTTATTTAAACCATTACCTTTACCGAAAATGAACCTCTTTCTTCTGTAGGAATTTCACGTTTGTTTTCAAATGTCTAAAGAGATATTGAGAAAGTTCTTATGCAAGCTTTTAAGGCCAAATTATCGGCCTGGTCTGACTTGGAAGGTTTTTGTCTAAATCAAGCTTTGTTGCTTTGTATGTAATGCATTTTATAATGTAAAATCTATACCATCGAATTTCGATTATTACTGCTAAGCTGCATTGATTTATTATTTTATTGGTTTTTTGTAGAGTTGGGCCAAGCTGTGTAACTGGAACCTCGTACTGATTTTTCATTACCCGGAAGATACTTGGCAACGGTATCTGACCATAATGACACTAGATCTAGATAGTGCATTTTAATGCAAGAGTAATGAGAGTTTCACTCTTTGTTGATATTTTTTCCTAGAAAAATAGTGTAATTTTTTAAAATGGCCCATAATTTAGAATATATTAAATTTAAGGCAACAGCACTGATGCTGATTCTGAAATTAATTAACTTAGTGATTGGACGTATTTATGCTAAAAAGAACCAAAGACAGGTCAGAAAGAAGGAATATAATCGTTAGTTGAGGGTCGTAAGAATGAATGGGAATTTTAAAACGCCAGTGATGTCAGCAGTGTCGACAGAGCTTGGCAAAGACAATGAGTTCAATGGTTGTGCTCTGTGACTTTTGAGCCCAGTCCACAACACTCTTGTCACATGCCCACGGCTCATGAGGTAGCTTATTTTGGCGCTTCGGTCCTTTTTATTTCATGTAAGTTCCCTCTTTTCCATTTTGCTTCAAGTCTCTAAGTTCCTCGTAACATAAATACGTCCAATTGTCAGACTTTTTTTTTATTTATAATGGTTTTCTTAACGAGATTTACGTACAATTACAAAATGAGTTGATTCTTCTTGATCTGTCCAAAAATTTAGTTTCTAGTCTTTGAAGTAAGATTGAAACAGCATTTGGGGCAAGATCCAATCACCTCTCTTCTCATTCAGAACTCTATTATGAAAAAACAGAGGTTGAAAGCAGCTCTATTAAGACAAAACGAGAGAAAACACTAAGAAATGACCCAAACCATATGTAACAAGATGGAGAAATGGCACTGGGTCCACAACATTTCGCAGGGAAAACAAAGGGAAGAAGTTAGACAAAAATCAATATTAGAATACAAACCAAAAAATTGAACAAAAAATCGCAAGATTGTAGGCATGATAAACTGTATGTCAGAATTTTCAGGTGATATTACCAAAATTTAACCCTAGAGATCCAGACATACAGAAGGAGAATCCAGAAAATTAGATAGATACCTATAGCCCAACTCTAGTTTTTAGAAACAAACAACTCTCTATTCCTTCAGTCATCTTTGTTACAAAGTCATCTGTGTAGATTGTAAATCATTAACATATTCATTCACATTGGAAATTATTTAAAGAGGGAAATTGATAGATAATGTCCTCAAATCTTCTTTTTTTAAGTTTTTAGACTCAATCCAAGTCATGTTGATCATGAATTTAAGTTTGTAATTGTTTACCCCAGTCTCCCCGAATTTCTTTCCTTTATTCTTCACTTGCTCTGCTATTAATTTTTCATTATTTTCATTTCATGTTTCTTTTTATCTTTTGCATTTATTATACTTTCGTTTCTAGTGGTTGCCTTCTAAAACTAAGAAACTATTGGAACTCTGTTTTTGTGCTTTGATTTTCTGTTAACTTTAAAACATATTTATTTCCTTCAAAACTCCCCTGCCAGATTCTGAGCGTAAGTTTTGATAGCCTAACAATTTTCCCAGTGCTTTTTATTTTTCTAAAATTCAAAGAGGGTTATTTCTTTTTTGTTCAATTGTCTACAGATAGTGCAGTGAATGAAGCATTTTGATGGCCGAAAATTAACATACGGCTGGATTCAGGCCCGATTGATTCTACACATGAAAAGTGTTTTCAGCCAAAAGTCCCCTTGAATCCCCTAAGTGGATTTCACATAGTGGTCCGATGAAGTCGAAAATTGGACTTATGTATTTTCAATGTAGTGTATTTTCAATGTAATGAATCATTTCCATCGTAATGGTTCTTTTCTGAAGTGTCATGGTTGCCAGTTTTTACTTCATTTTTTTACTATTTTTAATTAATTCTGAGGGCCATTCAAGTAATGCAGAAGGCTTTTTGGACGAATTCTTCAACCTCCAACCTTAGTAGAGCACCATTGCAGCAATGTTTCAATCCCTTTTGAATGAAGTTACTGCCCTCCTGAGCTCCTCCCCCCCCCCCAATTTTTCGGAAAATAACAGAAAAAGTTTGAAGAGTTGCTGATTTTTGTTCTATTAAAAATTATTATTTTTCTTAAAAAGGGAGGCTCACGTAAGACCTGACTTGACTCCCCTCCCTGTCGTAAAACTCTGTGAGCCGAACTTAGACCCCTGTCAGTAGCTTACGTAATACTAGAAGGGGCCGTCCATAAATGACAGCACCCATTTGTTTCAATGTTTTGACCCAACCTCCCTCCACCTATCCAATCATCATCCACTGCAACCCCCCTCCCTAAAAATTACTTTATCCGTAGCGTTCGCCTTACACCCTCCTTTTTGAGCGGAAAAATGTAATAGATCGATAGAAATCAGAAGATATAGTCAGTAGTGTTACGAACATTATTAATTCCTTTTAATGAGTATTAAATGTGTGTTGTGTTCTTCCCTGCTTATAGGGAAAAATGCAGAAATTTGATAAAAATCTAGCAAGATTTTGTGCCTTTCTGCCTTCATGAAAGCTTATGTCATCCTTGGCTTGATGTCCTTCCTCCTCGCCACCCACCGTCATCTACCTGGAACTTTCTCCCCCCTACTTGGGTGACATTATTTATACACGGCCCCAAACGGCCCCCCAGTGCTGCCCATTGTAGCATGAAAAGGCCCATGAAAAATATAAATTGCTAAAAGTTTAAATAGTTCGTTTTTAGTTTTAATTTAGTTTATCATATGCTATTACCAGGTTCATTTTGTAAAACGTGGGAATCTAATGGTAACAAGGAGCTTTTTTTCATTGGTTGGATCATTAAACACTTAAACAAATGATATGATATAATGGCAATCATGAACTCATCTTGCGTTGTCGATGCCGAAAATTGTTCTCAAAAAAAGATGGGCCAAAACAGGCCATAAGAAATAAGAAACTGTTTTTGTATCTTCAAGGGACAAATAGAATGGACAATAACACTTTTTCTATTTTAATTTTGTCACCAAATTTGTATTTTAGTGACTTGCCAACCAAGTGAAAATTGGGACTCAAAATTTTAGATACTCCTTTCACGGTAGAATAAGAGGACGCAAGAATCATTTTATCAATAGATATTTTTGTTTTCCAAGGAGAGCCTAGCAGGATTGAAAAATATGCTTTTAGTCAACTTTTCTGCGATTTTCGCCTTTTTTTTTTTTTTTGAAATTCCTGAAAAATCGGACGCCTCCCCCCTACCCCTCCATTTTTAAAGATTCATTTTTAGTAGATTGAGATCATGTAAAATTGTTTAGTTGATATCGTGTTTTGTGCCACTGCAGAGGCAATAGCAAGAGAAGAGAAAATCGCTTAAAATTTGACATTAACAATGTGTCTTTATGTGTCCTTTTTGTTGCCACTTAGATAGTACAAAACGCGACTTTTCCCAGTTTTTACACCTCCTTTTCTTGCTATTGTAAGTGTCTAAAAATTGAAGGTCCGATTTTTGCGTCCTCGCTAAGTTATTAAAAAAATTTGGTGAATATTGCTGAAAAGTCGATGAAAATCATGTTTACGACCTGCTACTGGTACCTTGGAGGGACAAAAAACTCCATAGGTAAACATTTGTTGTACTCTCGCGATGTCCGATAAATGGGATTTTTAGGAATAAAAAAATCCCATTTTTTCCATGTTCAACAAGCTGGGCTAAGATAAAGCGAAAAGCAAAAACTGTAGAAATTCAAGTCATACTGAGCAGTTCAGCCGAACTGTATGCTTACACATGGAGTAGAAAACCCCACATCTAGAAAACCAGAATTGCTCTTGATTTATTTTCCCCTGTCCTGAACTGTTCCCTGAAAACCGGAAGCACATTATCTGCGTGTTAGCTAAGTCACTTAAAGAATTCTATAAACTCGTGGAAATGGGAATCACAATTGTGTATTCTAGGGGCTTGTGGAGGGCACAAAAATTATTTTTAACTACAATTTTCCTAGCATGCTTCAAAGTGCTACTGATTAGTTTCAACTCCAAAAATGGGAGCTTTAGTCGATTTGCACCATTCTTAAAACGTGAGACTGAATCCACAGCAGTGGCGTTTATGTAAGGCCCACAGTGATGACAAACCCAGGGCTCTGAAGAATCAAGTCGCCTGCTGGAATTTTTAAAGGGAATCCCCTCATCAAGCTAGATAGGGGCATTCAGTTGGGCCCAAAAATACAGTCTGTGGGCGGGCCCAGGCTCGGTGAGTTACGCCACTTGTTACAAAAAACGCTTGAGTTTTATACATACTGAAGGGTGCAATCTTAAAAGTTTACCCTCGAAAACACCTTGCATAAGCTACTGACGAGGGGTAGGGTCTAAATTCGGCTTATAGGGTTTTACAAAGGGAGGGGGAGTTGAGGTCAGGTCTTATGTGAGCCTCCCATTTTAAGAAAAAATAATAATTTTTAATAGAACAAAAATTAGCAACTCTTCAAACTTTTTCTGTTATTTTCCGAAAATTGGGGGGGGGGGGGAATCAGGAGGGCAGTAACTTGATTCAAAAAGGTTTGAAACATTGTTGCGCTAGTGCTTTACAAAGGTTGGAGGTTGAAAAAGTTGTTCTAACAGCCTTCCGTATCACTTGAATGGCCCTCAGAATTGATTAGTAAATAGTAAAAAAATAAAGTAAAAACCGGCAATCGCGGTGCTTCAGAAAAGAGCCATTACGATGGAAATGATTCACTTTGGTCGTCACTAGACGGGCATAGCTGAAAAGCCCACCACTGCAATCATGCGCCACTTTAAATCACTAGTTTGCAATTTGATACACACAAGGCCGGCCGCGCGTCAACCCGCCTCGTTTCCGCCCTTTTGTTCCTTCAATTTTGAAGATAAACCTGTGATGTATTATCCCGAATTAATGCTAACAGAACGATCTATAACATTTACTGAAGAGTTTTTTTTGATGCGGGCCTTCATGTGGACGTAATTACAGAAAATACCGGTAAATTATTCTCAATTATCAAGTTCTTCCTACTTTACTCACATTCAAATTACTTTGACATTCAAAACTACAGCTTATTGGAAAAGTAGACTCAATTACCTACATTTTTCAAAAGAAGAAAAAAATGAGCTCTCCAAGTTTAGTTCTGGCTTTGCAGTGAATTTTTGAAAATATGCATGTCCAATTTTTAACTTCATCAGACCACTGTGCGTAACCCCCTTGGGGAATTCATAGGGACTTTTGGCTAAAGACACCTTTTCATATGTAGAATCTATCGGGCCAGAATCCAGCCGTATGTTAATTTTTTGCCGGAAACGGGCCCTTTATGCCTTCTTTTACTGAGTTAAGAATTAAAAACTTAAGAGGAAATAGTAGTAGTTGGATTTATGTCTGATCGTAAAAGCCGTGATCAAATCTAAATGTGTGGTGCTCTCTACAGTTCCTCATCTCTTAACTTCAAGGACATTTAAAGAATTTTCTCATACATTTCAAACTACATACCAACTCTCATTCTTTGAGCTGCACTATACCCATTGCATGTTTGAAGAATAAAAAAATTAATTTAGATGTCCCTTAGGTGATGCAAGTAATGAATTTTGAGTGGAAAGCAAACATTTCAGACTCCTATTCCCATGAACCGCTCAACATCATTGTCAGGAATAAAAATCGGCTTCTAGCCGAGGCATTGTATGAAATTGTGCATGACTTATCTCCAAGTTGTTGAGGGATCTTGCATGACAAAGGCATTGTATCTTAAGTACAGGACACTAAAAAAAAACCTGTGACACTAATTTTTCACACCAGCAATAATATAAAAAATATACTTTATTGCAGTGTTTTACATTTAGAGGCACCATGTCCAAAACATAACTTAGATGAGATTGTGTTTCAGATTCTTCCCCTGTTTACCCTGCCTCTATTCCACATCAATACTAAATTAATATAGAAAGTGATGAGGTCAAGAGAAAATGTTTTTGCAAAAGTAAGATTTTCTGTAAATCCTAGTCAGTATTCTCTGACTTTTGCATTTTAGTTTATTTGCATAGCCATAGAAAATATGTTAGTAATAACTTGGGTGTTTGAATTTCCAACCGTCAGCATTAAATTTTGAGTTCCCTCTGTAAAAATAATTCTCTTGATTAATTTCTCTCTAAAAATTATTTTTTCTCTCTCGCTCTCTTCAACAGCAAGAGGTGTACTTAAATACTGTAAGTCTCCTCACCTCAGAAATCTGTGATTTGTTTTACTGTAGTACAATTTGTTTCCCTGAAATTGGTCAAACTCTCTACTGAATTTGATAGCAGAAATACTGCTAATCTTACTACCTTGCAGAATTGTTGAACGTTTGTCAGAAAGAATCAGAACATTATCTCAATGATGAACGCATACTTGATAATCGAGAGAAACTCTTTATTTTTCAGGAGTTCAATATTTCCAACACGCCAAAAATATTTTCAAATTGACTAAATACCACCATCCTATCCTCTCTTTCATTTTCCCTATAAATTCAAGAATGAGCCCCCCTCCAACGAGACTCATACATTGAAGTCTTCTCTTTTTCTCTTTTTTTTTGGAAGCTTAATCCTTAATAGGCTAGGGCAGAAAATGGCTAAAATTTGATGCAGCTGCATGAATTTATAAATTTTTACCAATGCATTTCTGCCCAATTTTTCTCTAGTTTTCATAATTCCACCCTTTCTCCAAGGGCTTCCAAATATCGCAACCAAGTGAGGATGGTATATTTTTTGAATTGCAAGAAGGTGTTTCCCATTAACAGCTCTGTCCTCAACGTTGCAAAAATTAAATGTTTTACCTCTTCATCATCGCTCTTCATTTATGATAAATCAGAAATGATGAATGAAAAAAATTACCAACGATTGAATGGATTGCATCATGCAAAAGGGAACCAAAAGCATTCCAGTGTAGCTAAAATTATGCAACTCTTTGAAATAAAATTACTGAAATTATGCAAAAAATTAAACTTACTAAGGTAATTTTAATCTTGAATTTATAGTTTATTAGAAAGAAACATCAGACTTGTTTAGATGAGTAGTTTCTATTTGCAAGGTAAAAAAAGTTGCACAATCTTAGCGACATTGGCATGCTCTTGGTTCCTTTTCTCAAAATGCAATCCAAAGGTAGTAAATATTTACTTCCATGTTGCGATTTTTTATGATTAAATTTTGAAGATGATAGTTAACTAAGATTTCAGTATCACATTTTCCCTCATTCGTCATTTTGTTGCTGTATTCTTCTTTTCCTTTATTAATTCATCAACTTCTCTCTTAAATGCTGCAAGACCTATAGGTAACGAGGACTGAATGTTTTTAAGCAAAGGATCCTGCACATTCCTACGGGAAAGTGCACTACGATCAATTTTTATTTTATTCATCGCATACAATTCCTCTCAAGATGCTAATTAAAAGTCATCATTGCACCAACTTTCTACAATGCACCGTTTTCGCTCAAAGTTTTAATTATCTGGCAATGAAGAGTCAAAAAGAACAAGGGATTCAAGAACAGACCTGATGTAAATAAGGAAGAACGTAGCGCGTGTTTGTCTTCTTATCTGTTCCTGCCTACTCTGGGGCTATCTCCATCCCGCTCTCGTCCGTTCACTGTTTTCCTCCGACTTTCCTGTTCTAATGCTCCTCACGAAACTGATTTGGATGGTCAAGTGAAAAGGCGTGCGGAATCCAAGATAAGACTGCTGCTCGGTGCTGGAGTTTCCCTGATTTCCTTGTTGACACACGGTCGACCGTTCTTTCGAGTGCTGAAATAAGGAATCTATCCTGACTCTTTATCGCCAATTTATTGAAACTTTGTGCGAAAACGGTGCAGAGTAGAAAGTTGCTGCAATGATGACTTTTGATCAGCATCTTGAGGGAAATTGTATGCGATAAAAAAATTGAAAATCTATCGTGGTGCACTTTCCCATAAGGAATATGCGAGGTCCTTTATGTTTTAAGGACATGTTGTCATCCATCAGCCCAAGTATCACAAGCGCCACTCTGTCAACTTTTCAGGAGACACGAAAATCTGATTTGCTACAGTATAAGACGAAGTTTGGGCTTGAAATTTGGAATACTAAGCCAGCACAACTTACATATACAACACACTTACAACAGCCTTACATTATAATACAATTGCATTTAAAAAAAAAAAAAAAAAAAAAAAAAAAAAAGACATTCTTTGACATTGGGTTGTGCGAATAGTGAATTTAGCAAACGAAGCAAATTGCGAATAATGAAATTCAATTATTCTCAACTACGAAAAGTAAAACAAATGATTTGAAATGACGTTTTTAAGTGCGTAAATTTTCAAATATTACAAAAAAGTGTGATTAATTTCTTAAAGAATTTTCCATTTGCTCATACACCTGCACAGAAAACAATGAAATTTTATAATAGTAGCCTAGGCTGTTACGAATGTGTTTGAAGATCCCTGGATACTGGCTTGATTGTTCCTGCAGTTATGAATGCAATCCCAGGATTTGAGGGTAACTGCATAGGCAGTCAAGCTAGTATCTAAGGAGCGCCAGACACATTTTTAGGATTTTCTTTTTTGCGGTGTTAATGAACATTTCCTTCTTTCCATCTTGGTTATTTAACTTTCTATGTGGTTCTCTTCAAGCAACCAAGACACGCAGGCCAATCGCAATCGCATGTGCTGTTCGTAAACTCGTCAAAGTCGGTAAAGATCAAAGGAGATCCGCCGTTTCCGATGTCTTGGATGGAAGCCTTGCGCAGGTCCTCACACCGTTTCACGATTGCCACTCGGAAATTCGTTATTTTTGACGGCGCGAATATTTGAAAATTCCTTACGCCAGACGGCGCGAATATTCGCAATTTGGAATAGTGCGCGAGTCAGACGAAGCCAACATTCGCACAGCCCTATAAATTGGCGCTTGTGATACCGCGTTCTCAGGGCATTCTGAGAACCCCTGGCGCTTGTGATGCGGCAGCTCATCAAATCTGACGGAGTTTTTCTCCATATTTATTCATTTTTGATCTAAAAAAAGTATTATTTTTGTATGTAAATGCATCTTATCAATTCAAAATCATCCATAACTCAATTTCTATAAAAGGAGCGCTTGCGATACCTACTCCGGCTGGAAAGTGACGAATTGCTCCCAATCATCCGAAGTGTTGTTGATACTGATATTGTAAAAACAATCCCAAAGATGAGCGATTATTCAACTTGGCGTGTGTGATACTTTGTTCTTATATGGCGCTTGTGGTAAAAAAGTTCATCAACTTCAACGGAATATTTGCCATATTCATTTATTTGTATTTTAAAAAAAAGTATCATGATAAAACTCACGAGATGCATTTAAATACGAAAATATCTCAGCTTTAAGTCATCCCGAGGGTTGCTGTAAGAAAAATCGTAAACAATCAGAAAAGTGGGCGGTTGTCGAACTCGGCACTTGTGATACGAAAATACATCAACTTTAATCGATTTTAAGTCATATTTCTACATTTTTGTTCAAAGAAAAATTATTATTTTCGCATTTAAATTCATTTCGTTGTTTCGAAACTCTTGATAACTCAATTTTGGTAAAAATGGCGCTTGTGATACTGTGGCCGGAAGATGACGACATGGGCACAGAAAATAAGAGAAAAAACTGGCGAAAAACATTGCATATTTCGTATTTTATTATAAAAGCACTATGTGTAACTGTAAACTTTCTGATAAAAGTTCGGTTAAAACAATTGAAACAAAGTGATTTACCTTTTGTAATTTTTCATCACTACTGAAAATTGTTAGTGGTGCAAAATAACCTATGCAAAATCTCATTGTTCTTAGAAAATTCGATTACTGGGCAAATTTTATTTTACTGCAATAATGGTTAATTTTGTATCATATGTAGTTACTAATTTCTTTTCTCTCACAGAAACTGTTTTATACATTTTTGTTCACTCGGCATTTGTCTTTTATTTATTTTTCCTCTTTATTTTATTATTGTTATCAGTGTGATACGTTACGAGTCTTGAAGATGGATGGGAGTTTCAAGAAAATCATTTTATAGAATTGATTTCTCGGATTAATTCACAGCTTGTATCATTAAAAAAATTGTAACCAATTATTTGTATATATTGAGCTTAAGTAGAAATAAATCCTGTATTTTTTACTGGATCAAAATTAACTGCTGTCGTTTTATTCCTTTCAAACCTAAAATTGAGTCTGACACTTCTCATTGCACTTCTGTCCCCCTTTTCCCAGTTTTCTAGAATAAGCATGTTCGCAACAACAAAGTATGTCCACTTTTCTTATTGTATATTTTCCCCTTTATAGTATGCCAATGCGCCCTGAGAAGAGAAGGAGTAAATAGAAATAAACCCTACAAGTGGCAACAGCAAGGCGGCCAACGAAAAATTAGAAGACTGGAGGGCCCTTTGTTCGTAAAGAGCATTAGTGCTCCCTCCTTTTTAGCGCCAAAAAGTAGCCCTTTTCGACCCTGAGAGATTATTGCAGAGCTTTCAAAAACTAATTGCACTCCAGTTGCCACCATGAGCGCACAAAAGGGGGGCCAAGGCCGCCCCTAACCTCAAGTAGCATTTTTCAATATAAAAGTTGCAAAATGTTGAGACAATGTTTGTATTAGTTGCAACTTTCGGTCAACTTTTGGTCGATACCTAAGTGCCGATTTTTCGCGATCTGAACGAAAAACAAAGTTGCAACCTGTTGACATTGCAAAATTGCTGCACCTAAGTTGTTTAAAATCTTCAGATAGGCAACCAGCAATACTTTGAAGTTTAAACATGTTTCAACTTAATTGCAACTAGTTCCAACAATGATAGCTCCTTCAGGGGAGAGAGTAGGCAATCTGCACATCAATGTGTTAGTGGCAAGAATCAAACGATTTTGTTGCAAGTTGTTGCAACCTCTGCTACTTGGGACATTGGAAATAATATCATCTGCCCCCCCCCCCCCAGAAATTCTGGATGGTGGGACACAGCCTTCATTAAGGATATTTATCTCTTTTAATTTAGAGTTTTAAGTGAAAGCACTATGTTCATTCAGTTAGTATTTTCTAAAATTTTCGTCCTGCAAGCCGAAAGGGGGGAGGGGGTAAAAAGGGGAGAAGGGGGGGAGGACATTAAAATTGGTAAAATGTAAAGAAGAAGAAAAATCCCCAACAGAAAATACCATCATGACCGCGGCGTGGAGAGAAGAGAACAAAGTAAAGGCAGTAAAATGCGCTAACGGTCATAATAGTATGAATAAAGCCCGCGCCCCTCGAAAAACCATTTGGGGCTTTGTGAAAGATGTGGAAAAATACTACAGGAAAAGCTGAACAAATCACCGCAAACTGCGCTTCAATATCTAGATCTGGAACCTCGTAACAACCGGAGTTCGACATAGAAAAACCTGCAAAAATGGGTGAAAATCGGGAACTTTGCCCTCCCCCCCCCCNCCCCCCATAATTCCAAAACGGTGCGTATACTCAATCTGAAATTTTAGTATGTGTGAAGGGTCACCCTAAGAATGAAAAAAAACCTCACTTCGACCCCAATTTCTAGGGCCCAAAAACGGGCCCTTTTGTGCATGGCTCTTTAGATAAGTGAGGAACGAATGTCCTCAATCTGCAATTCCAAAAATTTACCCTGAGACACTGAGACACTAGCACTAACCATCATTCTACTCCGAATATGTAAATTCGGCCTAAATACTAATTCAAATACTTTTCAGATATTTTCAAAGTTAGATATTAGTAGTTAAAAGCTACCCCTGGTAGCATGACATTCCAATTTTGTTGAAACTTTGTGTAGATGAAATTGAAATTTTATAGATTCACCAAAAATTGGAGGAAAATTTCAATTTAATCGCGATTTGATTTCAATGTAAATTCTATTTTTATTTTTAGAAAAAAATTCAATTTTGTAGCGATTTTTTTTAGCAATTTTACAAAATCAATCTTGAATTTTAATTCCAATTTATTTTATTTTTTTTTTTATATCGATAAAATTGAAATTTCATGTCTTTTTAATTGGAAGTGAGCCCGTATCTTACATATTCAACAATATCTCTACTAACTAAAACAAGAATTAGAAAATTATAGAAATAACATTCGTACTTTATCGTTAAAAAAGATGTCAACAACTTTATCTCCAGTTTCAACAATATGTGATTTATTGGTTCCTTTCCATTAAAGTCGGTCCATATCGGTCAATTGCAAACTTTCTTTTGTTAAATTATAAGTATGATCAGCACTGCAGCACATCAGCACACACATCCCCTCTATTTTTAACTATGCATACATGTGTGCAAATTTGTTGAATTACATTGTGCACATCAAGAATCAGCCTTCGGTATCTACCATCGTTTGTCAGAGATTTTCTGGCAGCCTGCAAGATTGCTGCCTCTTTCACAGTTAATGCACCTTCATGCCAGTAGTGCAAATCGTTAATTAACAAAAATGAGCCGCGAATTTTGTTTTGCTATACGGCACTTGGGCGACAGTCCCAGTTAGCACAAAATACTTTGAAAAAATTGTCACCTTTATCAAAATATGTTCATAAAAATATTGTACTTAAAATATTTTCAAAACTTTTTTAAGGAATATTTTAAGAATGTTTACAGACAATATTTTGGAATTTTTTTAAAAATATTTTTGTCAACATTTTTAAAATATTCCTTAAAAAAGTTTGAAAATATTTTAAAAATATTTTCAAAAAAATTTTTTGAATTATTTTAAAAATATTTTTAAGTTCTTATTTTAAGTTTGTATGTGATGTACTTTACTGCTGTGTAAATTTAGTGGAAGTACCTATTGCGTGATATCGAAAAACAAAATAATAGGGGGAAAAAAGAAGCCTAAGAAAACACGGCGTTGATCAACGCTATGATGAAAGTCGAGCCTCGCACAGACGCAATGCATGGTCTAACAGCCTTAACAGGCGTGATTTCAACCCAGTTCACCATGAGCTCCTTTGTGGCTCAGTGGCAGAAAGCCGCGCTATCACACCCGCAGCTCGGGTTCAATTAAGTCCGCACTAGAGCGTCCAGGTGTTTTACACTACTAAACGTCACAGGACTTCAAGTAAGCGGTTTATAATATTCGATACTTGTATACCATGTTTCAAATGTAATAAAGAGGTTGTTCCATCTACCATTGAAACTGGGCCCCGAATGAAATCTCCTCATCTTTTCAGGTATCAAAGGGCATGGTCAGGGACACCCAAAAATGGTTGAATTTTTTCCAAATTCCCCCCTGGGGAGGGGGGCGGGGGGGTTATATGAAAAACGGTTTTTTGGCTATAACTTTTAAACGGTTTGAGATATCGATTTGAACTTTTTTTTAAATGAACGGTCGTTTAAAGAGCTTTCTTTTGGTATATTATGTTTAATAGTTAGGTCAATTTTTGACCAATTTATGGCCTGTCAAAAATTTTCCATGAGTCCAAAAATCAGATTTCTGTAGTTTAGAGCAGCGACGATCGCATGCAGATGAACAAAAAACTGTTCAACTTATAGCCCTCTCTCTGACGGTTAAAATGAGCCCAAGATCATCTTGGGGAAACGATTTGTCTCCGAGTTATGCTTCTTCAAAGTTGGCGCGGCGGGGTCCGCTTCCGCGGGGCAGCGCTCCGGAGTACGATAGTTCACTCCCACCCCCCTCCCGTCATGCCACGCGACGCAAACCGAGGAAGACTACCTTTAATGATCATTTGAACAAATAAATGCACACAATATACGCTATTATGTTGTACAAGTATTATTAAAATTATATTAATATAATAAATAGAAGAGTGGAATCTCACCGAATTTATCATCACCGCAATCCATAGGATCATCGGCAGTGTGATCCGCATTTTCATCCTCATCTTCGTCGTCTGAAAAGCCAAAATCGACTTTTCTGAGAGGGAAGCACTCGTTCAAAAAGGCTGAAGGCGCTGGTTTTTTGTGATAGCGCCCGTAAAACAAATACCACAGTATAGTTACGACGTGAGCACAAGGATTGATGGTACGCGCACCGTTCTTACATGTGCAGTAACTTGCTTTAATGGCCTCGCTGGATTTTTTACTGGTGTCGATTAATATAAATATATGATATTCTTTTTTTGATTTATGCCTCGATAGGATCCGCGATCGAAGAAAAAGAGGCAATATCATATAGGAAATATCATATAGGAAATATCATATTTTTGAAAATCTGGCAAAAAGTTATCCTTCGTCACTTGAAAGCAATATTTTCCATTAGCAAAATGGTCTGCAATATAACTTGCTGCAATTCCAATTTGATAACTTCCCGAGAGGGTGTCAAGATCTCCGCTCCTCCACTGTTCTAATTGTTTAAAATGATCTGTCGTCAGGTTTTCAAAAACTACTTTTTTTCGGAGCCATTTCTCGTCCTCAACAATTTGTTGCACAATATTCGGCTCATTTAATTTTTGGAGCATTTGAATGACAATTTTTGCGTCGTCACCATCACTTTGCAGGCGTTGAAAATATAAATTATGTATGGACACTATGACACTATGCGGACACTATGCGATAGTCGTCAAACAAATTGCCGGATCCAGGTATATTGCTTCTCATTTTATAGAGCGTTTTCAATATAATTTTAATAATACTTGTACAACATAATAGCGTATATTGTGTGCATTTATTTGTTCAAATGATCATTAAAGGTAGTCTTCCTCGGTTTGCGTCGCGTGGCATGACGGGAGGGGGGTGGGAGTGAACTATCGTACTCCGGAGCGCTGCCCCGCGGAAGCGGACCCCGCCGCGCCAACTTTGAAGAAGCATAACTCGGAGACAAATCGTTTCCCCAAGATGATCTTGGGCTCATTTTAACCGTCAGAGAGAGGGCTATAAGTTGAACAGTTTTTTGTTCATCTGCATGCGATCGTCGCTGCTCTAAACTACAGAAATCTGATTTTTGGACTCATGGAAAATTTTTGACAGGCCATAAATTGGTCAAAAATTGACCTAACTATTAAACATAATATACCAAAAGAAAGCTCTTTAAACGACCGTTCATTTAAAAAAAAGTTCAAATCGATATCTCAAACCGTTTAAAAGTTATAGCCAAAAAACCGTTTTTCATATAACCCCCCCGCCCCCCTCCCCAGGGGGGAATTTGGAAAAAATTCAACCATTTTTGGGTGTCCCTGACCATGCCCTTTGATACCTGAAAAG